AGCAAGCCCCCCTCCCCATAAAAAATCCTCGCCCTCCCCAGTGGCCCCAACTGGAAACTTAAAAAAAAGGAAATGATACTATTATAAAAGAAAAAGACTAAATTGCACTTCCACTGTAAGATCCAGCTCCGCCACTGCCTCTATGCAGTGACAAAAAACCTGGCTACACAGCTGGGTACTTTTTTTTGGGGGGGGGGAAGGCTTCCTCTCAACTATAGAAACATGGAGGTAGACATGGTAAAATTTATTAAACAAAAGGGATTTATATTTTTATGAAAGTTTCGGCTCATTAATCAAGCATGTCAAGGTTGCGAATAAATCATGTGAAAAAGGCGCAACTTAAAGGACACATAACCGTGTCAATGGTAATCGAACAGTGCAAATGAGCACAGAAAAAGTGCGCATGCAATTTATATGAAGTTTTGACAACTCCTTTGAAGTTTAGTCAAACACTTTCAAATTATACTAGAATCCACAAGGAAAAGCAAGTACTTTTGTAAATAAATTGCTGTTCGTGACGGGCCATTTTGTTACATTTTTTCTGTCATAAAGCTAAAACGTATTTGCAGTGATGCAGTAAAATTAGTGAACCCAGTTAGTTGCAACATAATTTGAGACGTTTTAATCACCTGGCGTGCAAGGCGTCTTCACCAACAACAGTTATTACCTAATACATTGTAAAGGGAAAACATCAACCTTTAAAGCGGACCAATTTCCTCAAAACTGGAGCAAACAATATGTCAGTGTTACATTTCAAGAGATTGCTCTTTCTCTGTTTACTTTTATCATGCTTTTATCGTCTTGTCCCTTCCCTCCTCCATGGTCCTGATGCAACTTTCTAAACTGTACCTGTTTCCTCGTGTACGAAGCCCCTTGATCTGCGACCTTTCCGAATCTCCATCAGGACCAAGTGGCCTGCAAGTTGGATAATCACGACAGACGGTGTTTTGCCTATCTTCCGACAAGGGTACCGTCGGCATTCCCTTGTTCGAGTTCACACTAACCAACATTTCGCCCTCCGTCGAGTCTTGCTCCATGGTCATTTCTGCAGTAATTCTAAATCCACGTAATCAACTCTACATGCTCACTTCGGTGACCCGTGACAAGAAACCATTCAGTTTAGAACTTATAGTTCATTCCTTGGTTTTTTGCAGTCCACTTGTCAGCTTCTTGGCTCACCTCCTTGTGCCAAACTGTGTTTTTCTTCAAACATTAACTTTACAATTCACCGTTGTATTGGTACATTTCAATAGCTCCGTGACTAAACCGAGTTCGGCAGTTTTTCTGAGACATGTTTATGAACATAAGACAAGGGACAACGAGTACTGTGTCACACACGCCGTAGCTAGCTCTACGGTCAAACATTGTGCAAACATGATCCGGCAGTATACAGACCGGTGGGGGAATGTGGCAACACGCACACACAACAAAGACATTGTAATCTAGTGACTCAGCCGCACCGCAGGACTAGTGTGCCAGACCGTGTCCCTAGCTGGGTCGGCGTGAAACGTTTGTCAATCTAGGGTCAGGTGGTATGGTGTTTCAATAGCCTCGGAATCAATAGTTAATTTTCCCATCTCGATCTCCAACTTCAAAAATCTGGTGCCTTAAATGGCTGCGTTCTCCCGGTTCATCTCCACAGTCACAGTTTTGCAGCTTTTATCACTGCGGATGGCCTTGAGGCACCTACTCAGTCACAAGAGTGCATTGGGGTCAACTTGGGGTTCAACATCCTCAACGAATAAGTAATTTCATAAATTTTCAATACCAGTGCCATTACCAAATAATTCTTTTCCAAATTTCGGCAACGTTTTAATCACTTGTTATTGTTAGTAAAATTATTTATGTAAATAAATCACTGCACTGAACGATCATTATAATTCAGTCGGCTTGTGTTGCAGAGCCATTAGATACACGTTTTTACATAGAAGTAGTTCCCCTTTAAAAATGTATAGCTTTAGTTTAGAGTTCTTGATTTTTTTGGTAGTGTGCCCCCTGTTTATTTGTCTAAGCCCCAGCTTCCCCCAATATCATGGGTCTGGCCACTTTCGGTGGAGCAGATCACTCGCAGCATACATGTACATGTACACCAGTCAACTTCACTTGTATTGTTCCTCCTAACTGGAGTGTGGTTTTCTGCTTGAGCCCTTGTCTACTGCAAGTCGGTGATTGAAGTCTTAGTGTAAACTCACAAGGTCAATTTTACACACTGTGGTGGTTTTACTTGCCTTGTTAACGTTTTTTAAAAATTGTTTTGATGTTAAGTCTTTTCATCCTTTTAGTTCCTTTTTCGTCCTTTTTTCAGTACTTTTTCATTCATAAATTCGTTTTGTCCTTTCTTTAAGTCAAATATTGGTGTCAGAGTCCCTATTAATTTAGTTTCCTGCGACTTTTCCCTCAAAGAGCCTTGGTTTAGTCAGAGATTTTTGTTGTTGTGCGAGTTCCCCCATAGCGTGTACTTTTTCCCAGTTACACTTGCACGCGCGCGTCTAGTCATGTGACGAGCTCGTGCAACGATTCAAACCATTTCGAATTTGTAAAATTAGAAATGAGTGCGAAATACCTTTCACTGACTCGTTAAAATGAATTGTCATGGGCCTACACATCTTGTGGTCCTCTCTCTAAATGCAAAAAAGAAAAACCCAATCTCAAAAAGAGTAACTTCCTTAAAAACCACTCCAAAAGAGCGAAAAACCTCTCTAAAAAGAGAGAAAACAATACCTACAGAGTGAGATTTTCACTCTGCCAAGGATCCACATAAACGTCAACCCAAAAAGGAGTTGTCCTTTTCATGGTTCCTCTTTAGATTGATGTTTACTTGTTTAGAATGATTTTCCAGTCTTTTGAAGTGGCTTTCACTCTTTCGGAGTCGATTTAGATTTACGAGGGACTCACTCTTTTTGAGATTGAGTTTTTACTCTTTTGCATTGAGAGTTTCTTCATTCCTAGTTACTCCGAGCGCAGTTAAATTGTAAGTTTTAGGGTCCGTCGATAAGGCTCCTAGTTATGATCACACATTCGAAGAAATGAAATTGTTTTTACATTTTTTTTATTAAACTTAGGTTCCAATTAATAATTTTTATTTTCCTGAAAAAATATTAGCTTTCGCATGCTGGAACCTGTCTGATGATCGTGGATTTTCTCAGCTCCCGAAAAAAAAAAAAACAACTCTACGCTAAGTTTAAATAGCGCCCCCATGTGGCACACGCAAGAAATGCTGGTTGTCACGATTGCAGGCAAAGATTGTATAGCGCCGCTGCGCGGCGCTATACAATCTTTGATTGTAAGCTAGCTGGGGGCAGTGGCAGACTTGCGCTTGCGCTTCAGATTGTCGTCTGCGACTAGTGTCCGCTTGTTACAGTACGGCTGCGAAAGTGAAACGCAACGACTGTCTTGGGAGAGCACAGCCGAGAACTTCAGAAGGGTATGGCTATGAATGGTTTTCTTATTTACTTAATGTTGTCCAGATTGTTGTGTTTTGAGTACTTGCATGTTGATGGCAGTGACAACTCGAATGGTTCAATTTCATTAGAAACTTTTCAGCGAGACGCGTTGCTCTGATCTTCTGCCGATTTATTGTGTTACCTAGTTACGTTACGCATTGTAGGCTACTTCTGATCATTTTGTGCACGAACCCCACAGAAAACAAGCTTTTTTGCCATAGGTATTACACGACGAGTCACGAATGGGGATTTTATTCATGTTGTGTACCCGTAGAAATGCTGCTCCATTCCCCCCAAGAGTTCTACCGGTAGGCCTATGTAGCCTACATCATGTACTATAACTTTATAAATTTAACCGTATAAGTATAGGCCCTAAATTGATGTAGTAGGCCTAGCTTACAGTTACATGTACGCCTATGCGGACCTTCATACTTCGTACCAAAAATAAAAGGGGCAAAACCATGCCGATTTTCAAAATAAATTGCAAGTACATATATTTCCCGATTAGCATCCGAGAGTCATGCGGTTCAAATGTCTGTTTGCAAAGACGAGTTGCAACCAAATGGTTGACTACGGCTGCGATTGATACACAAGACATGGAAATTGGCTCCAGCTGCTTTCCATACGTGTGTGTGCAGTTGGGTTCGAGTGCACATGAGCGCACCGTTGCAGTGTGAATGATGTCTGTGGAGGAAGTGCCATCTCGCACGTGGTTTGCAGCGATTTTCGATGTGGTTCTCGGCGATCTTTGGTGCGATGCGTGCTTACGTGCACTTGTACCCAACGCAAAACGTTGGGTACCATTTGGGTATAAGTAATGAGGAGCCCTGTGATTGGTCAGTGTGACCCCTAGCATGCCGCAGCCAACTGCCATTTTAACTGGTCAGTCCAGTCGCAGCTACATGTAAGAACATGGCTGCAGCCAATTTCCATGTCTTGTGTATTGATCGCAGCCGTAGTCAACCATTTGGTCGCGGCTCGTCTTTGCAAGTACACATGTGAACCACATGACTCTCGGATGCTTATCGGGATTTGCACCTATTTCGGAAATCGGCATGGTTTTGGTCCATTTTTTCTTGGTGTAATGTAGGAAGGTACATGTACATGTATGTAACTACCATACCGTACATAGAACTTTTGGGGGCATTGGAGCAGCATTTCTATGGGAACACAACCAGAATAAAATCCCTGTTTGTGCCCTGTTAAACATCATGTACTGCCTATGGCAAAAAAGGCTTGTTTTTTGTGGGGTCTGTGAGAGCAGGGAAGATGTCGGACCCCACAGTTCTGGGGGTAACAAATACGGTAGCAATGTACAATCACATAAATATAGTTTTAGCTGTTTTGATCACACATATATGTGCAACAAAATTTCACGCATCCATTTTTGGTGAGGTTACATGTAGATGCCTGCTTGGAATATTTATTAACCTTATATCTCATTAAAAGGGTGACATTTATGAGTATCTTGTCCATCCATGCCACAGAAAATCAGCGGCATGTACATGTGCTCTCTCAATTATTGTCAGTTGCATGACAGCTTGACCAATAGCAACACAGGTCCCAATTTTTCCTTGTTGTTTTCCTGTCGCCCGCAGGTGAAAGCCGAGCTGTGACTGGCCCAATCTGCTTCCATTCCATTGACCAGTCACAGCTCGGCTTTGATCTGCGGGTGACAGGAAAACAGCAAGGAAAGATGGGGGCTGTGTTGCGATTCTAACCCCCTCCCACCCAAATAGAATGCTGGCTCTATCAATTCCTTACAAAATGGCGACAAGTCTGGGGGGAGGGGCAGGATGAGGGGCATACGGTATGTTAGCTGTGCATGTTTGCATCACAAAAGCACCGTCAAGAGTTTGTGTCATTGTCATACTTTTTACATTCCCACAGGCACATATCCCAACCTCTGCTGTATGAATGTTTGTGGCAAAAACGTTTGACAAAATGTTCGTGGCTTTAACGGTCTGTCATTCTTTTGTTCGTTCTGTCAAGCCAGTGATGTGACAAATCCAAGGTGGCTAATATACCCCTACAGCCCTGAAATTTGCTTGAATTCCTGAAGATGCCTTGAGCAGCAGTACACGGTAAATGCCATGTGACCGGTGACCGAGTAGCTTGTTTCAATATTATGAAGGATCACCAGACGTCAGTGGTAAGTAATGATCTGTTGTACATGCGCAGTGGGAACAAAAAGTTCACATACACCTGGTAGAAAAAGAGTTTTCCTCAATGTTTCACTGTTTGAAGTAGTTTTGCCAACTTTTTCTTCACAAAGTCTGACAAATTGTATCTCGATTGAATGTTCATAGTGTGTACTTAAATTGAAAATACTCAGACATTTACTATGGTTCAAAATATTAATATTTCTTACAAATCATTTTGTGAACATTTACATCGTACCCCCTTATTGTCGCTCAAAAACACCTCAGAAAGTGGTCCACTGCGACTTTGAGATGTGACAAAAAATACAGGAAGTGGCACTAAATATTAGGTTTGGAATATGTAAAAGTTTTGTTTTTTGTAAATATAAGTATGAATCATGTCTCTGGGTGTTGCTATTTGATGCATACACTGTGTACATTAAGCAGAGACCCATCTTGTCTGTCCTCATGAAAAGAAAAGTTGGTAGGAATGAGTGAAGTTGTGAAATTCGAGGAAAATTGTTTTTATTTTACCAGGTGTATGTGAACTCTTGGCCCTAACTGTACATCATAGCCTGTGGCTAACACAGATGTAACTTTAGTATCTTATATTTTTACTCTTAGTAGTTTTTCTTTTCAGCCTTGGTTGAAGTTGCTGGGCGGAATAAGGGGATGCAGTTACAATGCAGTTAAGCTGAAGGCATGCAAAGATGCATCAGACAGCTGTCAAATAGCCCAGGTCTGACCACGGAGCACAGCCAGAGATCACATGTGCTGAGTTTTTTGGAGGGAGGAAAACCGGGGAACCTACATGTACATGTAGATAAGAACCCATGTGGCACATGAGGGAAACAGTACAGGCAATTTACAGGAGTGTGCCTCCAAGAGTTTGCAACGGGTTGGCAAATCACAGTTCGGGAAATCTATTGACCCTTTCCAAACGTGCATTGGGTCCACAGATTTCAGGCGTCATGATTGGCCAACTCGTTGCAAACTCTGGGATGCGCACTTTTGTGAATTGCCTGTATATTACTTGCACATGGCCTACGCTGGGTATTAAGCCTGGGTTGCAGACGATCCAACCACGAAGGTCATCATGTTGCATGCTGAAGCACCAGTACAGCATGTACAGTACTTCAATGATTCCACTACACATGCAATCCTAATAAATCTAAGCAGAGTGCGAACAAGTGCCACCATTAAAAATGAATTCGAAAATGAAGTCCTTGAAAATTAATAATTTTTGCAGGCTGCATGATTATCTTGCATGGGCCGTGCAGCAGTTCTTGCCCTTTTTCCAAGCAGCCAGCAAAAGTTATGCAGACGGGGATATACAATAAATGTTGATAACTCGAAGTCAGTTAGGTTGAAAGACCGTTTTATCTCGTAGGCTGACTTTTTCTTGCTAAAAGAATATGTTTCATGTACAAAAATACCTCCATAACACGAAATGTACACACCATTACATTATCTGGTTATCTCAAAGTTCATGTGACGCTGATCGAAACCCTCGCCAAGTCGCTTAAAATTAGGTAAGGGACAACTGCGAGATCTTGGTTCAAGTCATCACTGCCAAGTGTGACCGCCTGTGTTGCTTGCATGCTGCAAGGCACACCCCACCCCACACCAACTGCGAAAAATCTTGCTTTTTTGCCATCCTGACTGCTACTGCAGACCCATTCACGGAGAGTCCAATCGCTGACTCTTTCTTACAGCTACCTGACCACAGAAAGTGATGTCATCAGAAGAACCAAGTGAAAACAAGCCCAAAATTCTGTAGCATGTCACGCCGAACATGATCGGCAAAAAGACAACATTTGCTACACGAAGGTACATGTACTAGGTACACATACCATTTAAGGGGTTGATTTTTATTTAAAGGTAGAAAGAAAACTTTAAGTAACAAAAAAAAAAGCTCAATAAAATGAAAGCTGGAAAGGTCGATTTAATCAGAGGCAATCTACCCACGCAATGCAGCATATCCACGCCATGGAATACATACTGGGTACACCTACATGTACACGAACATTCTCTTCTGCTAATATACATGTACATGTATAGTGTCACAACTTTTGCATTAACTGGTTAACATTAACTGCAACCCCCATCCTTTACTTGTCAAGATTTTGACAGTACTTATTTACCGTATCACATCAATTTATAGAGGAAGGTGTCATGGCTAGAGCATAATGTTGTTTAATTGGTACATGTACAGTAAATGTGTGTCAGCAAAGAGCCAGGGGTTTTTGTGTAGGGGGATTCTACTCCCAAATCTCAGTTCTCTGATAAACTGATTTCAACTTTATCAATTTGATTCTTGTCCATACTACATGTAGTATCTACATGTGTATTTAAATATGAAGTGACTTTTAAAAATTTTTGAGGGTGTTTGTGGGAAACTGGGAATCTGTGATGTTTTGTGATCTGAATGTGACACTTAATTAATTGTTCCATGTAAAGTGTAAACTTATTGGTAGACTGGCTGAAATACATACTTTACCAGTAGATCCCTGTATATTAATTAATAAGAATGTTTGTACTTCAAGATATTTGTATTTCAAGATATGTACTTTGCATTGGGAGTTGTTAAAAAACCCTAACCCCCAGGCCCTTTTTGCTAGGGACCCTCCTCAATCCATAATCCTCCAGTTTTTTTTGGGGGGGGGGGTGAAAAATTGGATTTTCCCTCAACCTCCAAAATCCTCCAAAATTTCTCGAATATGTCACATGTACTTGGAGGTATGCCTACTGCCTCAATCCTTCAAAATCCTCCGGCAATTCCTGCCATTATGTTGAGGCAGTGCGAATGCCATTTATGAGCAGAGTGGTTGATTGAAAAGAAATATTGGGCTGAATTTACTGGTAGCATGACTGAGCAAGAACAACGCAAGGTCTGACCCACAACCTTCACTCATAGCATCCTTCACAATCAGCCATGCACTTTTGTCATTCACCCTCAATCCTCCAAAATCCTCCAAAACTGCCCAAAAGATTTCGGAGGATTGAAGAAGGTTAGGATTTTATGTACACTCTCATTGCGTATTTTTTACTCAGTGTTTGTTTGAGAGCTTGTGAAAAAATTCACTCGTAAGCTTACTCAGGTGGGCAAGGGCCAAAAAACGTAATTAAAAATGAAAATTGTGCATATTTAACTTATGCTCATTATTTGTATTATTGGTTAGTCTGGGTCATAAACTACACGAGTTCTAGAAGAAAACCTCAAATATGAAATGATGCTGTGATACCAACTACCGTACCCCAGAAGAACAGATTTTCTACACATACATGTACATGTACTTACATGTACATGTATTTCTCTTTGAAGTGAAGCAAAAATGATTGCATATATTCTGAAAACAAATGGGAATGAAAATTCAACATTTTGTGATGGTTTCCAGCATCTGGGCAGACACTGCATGCAGGGGCACATGTACAATATCGGTCTACATTTGTATACACCCTTAAAGCCTTTTCATTTTAGGGTCTGGACCATACAAATCAAGTGAATAAATCTTGTTTGACCTTTGTACAATTTCTTTCAGAGAAATACACCTCAATCAGGGTGTACTGTATGTGCACTTCACAAAAGCGCAACCGTTATTTACAGGATGTAGTTATGTATACGCAACATGCTCTGTGGATTACACTACCCATGCATGGTACAATGTACTTTGTGTGAGTCAAAAAGTACACTGCACCCCGCTTGGAATGTAATGCATCTGGCAGTATGAAATGATCCAGAATTGGATTTAAGATTGACTTTTGGACGAAGAAGTAGCACTTGAACTTCACTGGTCCGCAATTTGCTTGTCATCATTCTAAAAGGGGAATCTTTCTTCAAAATACTAACAGCAAACAAAATCTGTCAATGTGGAATATTATATGGACTTTACTGTAGGTAAGATGTATGGCTGCATTTTCATTGGATTCAAATGACTAGGCTCTACAGGTACAATGTACATGTACATACAGGCAGGTGTAGTGAAACAAACTGGTACACTGGTGTACTGTGTCTTAACTTTTTACATTCCTAACAGAGTTCTGTATGCACTCTCTTGCCTACCACTGGTAATTTCTGCAGAATTTATACCAAAGGAATTTATTCAGTGTTTGAAAATTCTGAGGATTTTTCAAATTTGCCATGCATCACAAAAATCGAGCTGTCCAAGTTCAAATTTTCTACCTAAGTGTATGTGCTGGTAATATCGGTACACTTGTACTGAAAATTGGTTTATTCATTATAATGTGAGAGTGTGCAAGGGATGCCCTGGGGGAACCCCCCATGCTTAACTACTGGCCTCAGCTGTGTTACCTCAAACCTGAAATTGAAAATGCAGACCCAAGTAATGAATGCTGTTCTGTGCAGTTTCCTACTTCTCATCTTCCATTAAACTTTAGATTAAAAAATCAAATTCTTTTCAACAGTTTCTCCTTTCCGTGACACTTTAAAATGTTTAATCACAGGCGGTGTTTACTAGTGCACCTCGCGAGCAATTTTTTTCTATTCACTGCTGAAATATCCCCTAGGCTACACCAGTGTATCGTTAGTAATTTTTGATTGATGCTGAAGACAGATGCAGGTGTGCCTAATGGCAGACCAGTCACCTGCAGCCAGCCAGTGATTTACATGTAGTTCGGGCTCGCTACCTGCCTGTCGCAGAATGATTTTTTGCTTGACCGGGGAATCGCATACATGTACCGGGTAGCTGACGAGCTGATATCAGATGATCTGCTGGAACTTCTCTTGTCGCAGAGGTCTCTTTTGTTTTGTTTTTATTTTATGGTTTTTCATCAGGCGATTTTCTCCAGTGGGCATGCATACATGAGGAGCTAGTACACCTGATCTGACAATTACAAGTGAGATGTTATACAGGCATACGCTTTGGTACAGTGTCTCTGAATGCATGTACATGTACATGTACGTTGAAGTTGTACATACATATACATTGCAGGCAGCATTGATCTTTGTGAAATTGGTTTCGTAAAGTCATGTTACACTTGAAATCTGTCGTGCATGTGTATTGTAGTTAATTACTGTTAACTTGTTCCTTTGATTATGTTTCAAGCATACAAGTACATGTAGGGTACATTTACGTACATGTGCATGTACATGTATATAGGTACATTCATAATGTTACGGACCGGCACACCGGTATGTTGAACTTTGTTGCCTGTAGTTGTTCACACCCAGTTTACTAAAGTACTGCTCACAGTGCTGATAGGCTGGCTTTATTTACACTTGCCATACGCATTGTACATGCTGCAGTGTATTTCTTCTGTATGTACTATACAGTATATACATCTAATAGTAGTGGGTTTGGTATTTGATAATTTTTCTTTTCATAATTGTTTTTAATTTATTAAAGTACAGTAAGGGTTTGTGAGTCTTACAGTATCAAAGAGTGAGATTTATTTTGCTTTTATTTAGCAGTAAAAATCATAAGTTTTGATCCAGTTTTGCTTGTTTTACTTTTGTTGGATTCAGCTGGCTTGACACTAAAAATATTTCCGATATTTTATGTACATGGTTCATAGGGGTAATATACCAGTACATAAATAATTTCACTTTTCTTGTTATTTGAAGCATGGGGAAGTCTAACAATTAGAATGTATCGATACATGTTCTGCGTAGCACTGGAGTTTACTTGGCAATCTTGGTGTCATCTGCAAGGCCACATGTTCCCCTCTCCATTTATTTAAGTTTCATATCCATATTTGCAGTAGTTTGGGAAATATCTGCCAAAGGAAGTGCCAAATCTTGTCTGACTGTTTGATATTTTTGCGGAATTCTGGCTTCGTCTGTGCTACACTGATCATATTCCCACGCAGAGAATGCTTCATATAATCGAGCATAAAAGGACTAAGAAATGTTTAAATCTGGCAATCCTTGTGTCATCTGAAAGGCCACATGTTTCTCTATCCATTCATAAAAGTTTCGTATCCATTTCCGGGAGTTTCACAGAATTGCAGGTACATGTAGCAACCACACCGCGCCGATGAAAACAACTGCAATGAGCACACGTACTGATCAAAGAAAAGATTGTGTAACCCGATCCTCTGACTGGCTGGTGCGTGCGTACATGTACCGGTACATCACCATGGTTGCTGTTTTCACCAGCGTGGTACCTGCCATTTTGCAAGATTCCTGGATGTCCGTACTGCCCCATATCACAAATTACTAGTACATGGTACTTGTTCGTACCCCAAGAACATATTAGCAACAAATTTTCTTTTAAGTTCAATTTCCTTGCACTTACTGAATTTGATACCCAACTGAGTGGTTCCTGTAAGGAAATTAACTTTGGTCTCAGAGTTGGGTCTATGAAGACGTCGCTGACCTTGTCAGAATTTATGTTTGCAGAGAACATCTCTTGAAAGTGAATGTTACTCAGACAGTTGCCCACACATTTGAAGTCAAATTTTGATCTCCATTTAGAACAATATACTCAGATTTGAATTGACTGGCATGAATTTGTACAGGCACAGTTAGTATATTTTTCACTCCAGAACACCCTTGGCAATTTTTCATTGATGTAGAATGCCGTCCTTCTCAGATCTTATCCCAGCTGTACACATGTGTTCTTTCACTTTTTTTCACTGTGAAGACTTCCTGCCTTCTTTGTAATCGGAACCACAAGTACAGTACATGTATGCTGGAATGAAATCTGCTGGTAGATAACACACACACATGCCCATGTACATGTGTCTGCACGTACGGTGCGCGTATGTACAGAAGTAGCAAGAATGTCAGCTGGATTAATTATCCTTATTAAATTTAAGCGACATTGGGTACCTTGCACCATTTGTGTACATATACTTGAAAGGCTAAGTATTTTCAGTCCTTGGTCAAATCGAATCATGCCGTGGAAAGTGGATTATCTGTCTAGCCCATTCTTCTGTCGTGCAGTCTGGCATTGTTTTCGTTCAGGCATTAGGCATGGCTCTGCCATTCACGAGCTCGGAGAAGGGACATAAGCACGGATCCATCTGTACAAATTGGTTGTCTCAACCATGCAGGCACGGAGAATTCAGGCTTCATTGCGGCACGCTCCCTCCCAGTTAGAGAAAAAAGGGGAAGAAAAACATGCTTTTTGGGGGGAGTACAGTACATGTATATGCATATATGTTTCAATGATTTGTTCTGGGATATTCTACTGTTTTTGTTTAGGGCTGAGTCAGTTCGAATAATTCACTATTCGAATATTCTATCTTCAGTTCGATCGAATATCCGAATATTCAGTCGCACCAACCAGCAGATTGTTGGACAAACCATATACAAAATCAGTTGCAATAACACACACATTTGTATATTATGATTAATGTAATAGCTTGTCACATCTAGGAGTATCTCCAGCCGCGATTTAGCAAGA